TGTCTTGGAGAAAATGTTTCAGCAGCACCATGCATAGCCCCATCATTGACATGTTTTTTTTCTTATTTTTCCTTTAGTCTTACCTTTGTAGTCTAGATCAGGCAGGTTTATTTTGCTGAAATAAATTGCTTCAAAACTTTGTTGGACTTATTTCAAGAAGTGAGAGAATGTGCGTCAAGCTTTGCACATCTACTAAGGGCTATCGTTGCATCCTGTAGAATTGTTCTAAATTTATATTACTGATCTAACAAATGATTACAATGGTTTAACATGAACACAAACTCTACTCTTTCATTTTCTTCTATGGAATATCTGCTTTTCTTCTTGTAGTGCCCTTTTCACTGTCATCAGTATGGAAGTGTGTAAGAGAATCAATGGATTGAACCAGAACACTCTTACATTGTAAAAGTACCACCTCATGTCATAGAGATGTTCTGGTATGGTGGAAACAGGACCTATAAATGCTTGAGTACGATCCAGTGTTTTGTCGCACAGAGAAGAATTTGTATACCTGTTGCACAGCAACAAACGATTTACTGCCTTTAAAAAGCAATTAATTGGTGAAAGGGCAACAAGATTCAATGACTGTCCAGCGCATAGAATATATAGAAAATTCTTATTTTTCTCTTGAAGTTTCTGCTGCATGTTATTTCACCATCCTGCCATGGCAGCTGCATTATTGAATAAGTGTCCTCTGTCGACACTGAAGACCATTTTTCAGTCATTGCGTTGATAATGCAGCACCTTGCGAGCTGGACTTTCATCATCATGCTTTTTGAGTCCAAAGAAAGTTCCAATGTGTTCACTGAAACAATCACCATCAGCTGACACGTGTCAATAACAAGCAATACCAGTTAGTTGACCAATATCTGGATGACCTTCTGCAAAGGTGACAGATAAACTGAAATATTCTGCTTTCTCAAGTCATATAAAACTACAGCCTTCAGTTCAGCAATGAGCTGGATGAGTTTATCAGCTTTTAATTTCGATAAGTATGAAGGCTTCCCAGATGCATAGCTTCCAGGATATTTCATATGGCTGGCAAGAAATGGATCAAACTTTGCAATGGATTCTGACAAGTCAAGAATGTTCCTGTGTTGTGGCAACCAACAGTTTTCATATCGTCCCCTAAAAGCTCAACTAAGTTCTGTTCTGTTTACGTACATACAACTGCAAGAACATGTTCAAATGCACACAGCCAGTACATTTTCCTGTTTTCATCTGTTCTTCCAGCTCTGAATCCAATTTCAACCCACGTTGCATGGTGGCTCAGTGGTTAGCACTGCTGCCTGACAGAGTGGGGGACCTGGGTTTGATTCCATCCTTGGGTGACTGTCTGTGTGGAGTTTGCACATTGTCCCCGCGCCTGCGTGGATTTCCACCAGGTGCTCTGGTTTCCTCCCATAGTCCAAAGATCCATAAATTACCTGGAATGGCCATGTCAAATTGCCCATAGTGCTCAGAGATGTGTAGGTTAGGTGCATTGGCCATGGGAAATACAGGGTTACAGGTTACGAATAAGGGGCTGAGTCTGGTTGGGATGTCCTTTGAAAGGTGGGTGTGGACTTGCTGGGCCAAATGGCCTGTTTCCACAGTGTAGGGATTCTGCATAATGTAAGGAAAGCTTTTCTATGATTATCAGAACTCTCATGTTTTTGAATTCAAAGAGGGTTTCACCAGGTCATTAAACAAATCACTAGTGTTATGGCACAGTAATAAATAGCCAAACCCTATCAGCCTTTCTACCTTTGTATTTACAACACAGTGAATTCGGAAAATTAAACCATTGAAGACCACCCATTCCCCCAACCACTTCCACCACCTCGATGTAATCACTATAATGGCTCTTAACCAGACTTTTGAATAACCAATGCCAGGAGTTGGAAAAAATTAATTTCCAGACAGCAGATTTGTACGTTAAACAAATGATTTAACCATTTATGAAATATACAAAAACTGTAGAGGAGAGAAAATCCAAACAGCACAGTAAATTGATTGATATCTGTGCTTTAAACCAGAAACATTCGTTTTCAGGCCCCATTCACACAAAAGACAGACAGACAAACAAACATAGTGAAGGGATAAGTAAAAAACAATAACAAAACTAGCAAGATTACTTAAATGTCTATCATGATGTGTTGTTCACAGGCATAAAATGCATTCCTTGGCCAGTTTTTTTTGAGACATTAATCAATGTCACCTTTACAATTCACCCAGGCAGTTGCAGAAATACTTCTAACTCAGCTTTCTACTCTTCGGGCTTCTGGAAGCTGATATAGCAGATTAGGCAGGGAGTGTTCAAGTCTTCATGCTGTCCCAGCAGCAACCCAGAACCATCTCCCAGAACCCATCATTAAAAAAAAACTTTAATTCTGGTTCCAGCCTGGTAGCTTGATTGATTCTCCCTGAGGTCTCAATTGCCATTCAACGTCTGCTCGAAAATAGGGTCCCTTCCAGAATTGCTGGAACCAGTTCCCAGGTACTGACCTTGATAATACCCAACTTCTGTAATCTGTTTAACCACAATGCTCTTCCAACAGTTCCTGTGTCTTTTATAACTGATTTAATCAGGAATCAGTCTGGTATCAGACTCCAGGCATAGCATCACAAACAAACAAAGCTGGTTTGGTCTGGTTTTTTTTTCCTTTCAGTTAAAACAGAACTTTAATTCTGTTTCCACTCTGATAGTTTAATTGAAGTCTCCTAAGGCCTCAGTATCCATTCAATATCTGTGATCTGCTGTAACATAGGGACCCTTCCAGAATTGCTAGAACCAATTCCCAGGTATTAATCTGTTTACAGCGAATTTTTGTTATCGGTTAAACACAATGCTCTTCCGAGGGTCCTGGTGTCTTTTTAGAATTTATTTAATCAGGAATTAGTCTGATATTAGCCTCCAGACCTAGCATCACAAACAAAGATGCTGGTTTGGTGTGTTCTTTTCCTTTTAAGCTGTATCGGCATCCACAAGCAATTTCCAGCTCAAAATCCAAAATTGATAAAAGAATAAAATTTAAAAATAATGAAAAACATCAGTAAGGTTTCTAACACAAGCCGGTGCCGTCGATGAGGTTGAGAAGAGTTTGTTAACAAAGAAGGAAACCTAACCAATTTTTGGAGAGTATATTATCCACTACCAGTTGTTTTTTTCACCGTTAACCTTTGTGGAATGAGATTGACCTTATGAATAAAAATTCCATTGGTTTTTGAATTAGCACATTGCTTTGTCAAATGGGACATTTCATTGTTGAGATTCTGCATCTCCTTCATGTATCCAGAATTAAGTATCATTGTCAGTCAAGACTCCCCAGAGAATGAGGTTATTGGACTGATTGTACGTATTTTCTTCATCTGGGATTTCAGGATCTGTAACATTTCCCGGTGTGGTAGTCACATTAACATCTGTATTGGTGATTCTAGTGGAAGAGGTGGATGCTTGTGGTTACTGTGCTGCTGGATGACACTATTGATTATGAATTGCCTTCTTTATTACAATAAAACTGGCAACTTTTGGTAACTGTTTTAGGAGCCCTTCTAGTTGCTGCTTTTTTGATCTGACACCTACTTTCAAATGTTCTCTTCATTTTTAATGTGTTTCTAAAATGATGAGAGAAATAAAGACTAGACAAGTATTTTGAACACAAATCCTTAATGTTTACAAGTAGAATTATAAAATGCAATACATACCTTTCATTAACTTATATTTACTTGGTGTCAAGGAGAGAAGGGAGAGCTTTTCACACTATTAGTTTTTGAATTTTTTTTTGAAAAGAAAAACATTTTAAATTCCAAAATCAACTTCTAGAATCACAGAACCCTGACAGTGTGGAAGCAGGCCATTTGGCCCATTGAGTCTCTACCACCCCTCTGAATAACATCCCACCCAGACCCACCCTAACACTGTAACCCTGCATTTCCCATGGCTAATCTGTCTATCCTGCACATCTGTGGACCCTATGTGCAATTTAGCACGGCCAATTCACCTAACCTGCACATCTTTGGACTGTAGGAGGAAACCGGAGCACCCAGACATGGGTACGCTCCACACAGACAATCACCCAAGGCTGGAATTGAACCCAGGTCCATGGCACTGTGATGCAACAGTGCTAATCACTGAGCCACCATGCCATCTATATATATTTACATTCTAAATTTGTTACTGTTAGAAAAGCCAAATAAAGCACCTTTATTTAGTGATTGAAGAATCTAAATGAATCATGTGACTGTCGGAGGTCAAGAGAATCCAGATCTATGACCTAAGTTTAACTTCCACCAGCTGCCGATCCCAATATTTCCGCAATATTAGTCCAGTGGCATTGTCACTACACCATTATCTCCCACTTTCTGGCTGAATATGTAACTTTGCTCTGCAGGATAAAATCGTTGTCCTATTGTGAAACATACACATTGGGAATATTCAAGGTGTAAAGTAATTTATTTTAACTGGGGTCCTGCTCGTATTGTAGGATAAATTAATTTCGAATTGCCGAGCAGTTCACTCACAATATGCTAAGCTCTCACAGCACATCATGACACTAACCAATAGCATGGCCCACCCTTACCTGAAGACAAAGCATAGAGTTTTCCTAAGCACTTTCTGATGAAGGGTCTAGGCCCGAAACGTCAGCCTCTCTGCTCCTATGATGCTGCTTGGCCTGCTGTGTTCATCCAGCCCTGCACCTTGTTGTCTCGGATTCTCCAGCATCTGCAGTTCCTACTATCTCTGATAGAGTTTTCCTGCTGTTCTTGTGTTAGAATAACACGGAGCACTTGACCTTTCCCATTTATGGTACAAAATGTCAGAAACCTAGATGACTTTGCAGAGGACATGTTGTTATTCATGAGATGGTGTAATAAATATTACAAAATTCAGATAACTATTGTTTTCTACGCTGACTGATCTTTTTCCACTGATAAAGCTAATGGCACAGGAAATTATTTACCATGAAAGAAAAACTCAGTGTATAAAAGAGACAGTTGATATCCATAACACACCAGCTGCAAGATGGCAAAGCTTCTACTTGGAACAGGTAAGGCAGTATTACTGTTTATTACCCCTGACATTTTAAGATCTTTTTTAGTAAGTTCACTGTTAGGATTCAAATGGGGCAAAGAAAAATGTGAAGATTCCTTTCGTAAAAATCAAGTTTAATTATAAAGGAATTGAATCTTTGCTGGGATTCCTGAAGCTAGCTTGTGTAAGTAGCAGGCTGTCAAGGGCACTTCAACTAACCCATTGAATTACTCAACTGCTGTTCCTAAAGTAAATGCTCTGTGACAGTACCTTATTTGATCATTCTTGTTTTAAAATCATCATATTCTCTTGAGATTTTCTCAAACAGTACTTTTTGATTTTCATGGGACATGTTTCAGTTTTCTGGGGCTATTTTTCATTCTCACTAACTCATTAAATAGGCAATGCAGTCACACAGTAAGAATCCCTTCTGTATTTGAGTTGACTTATGGAGTGTTTGGACTCACACAGAAGCAGAATTAGAAGAATTCATCAACATCCTCCAGAATTACTAACCTTCGATTAATCTTCCATCCATAACACACAGTGAGCATGTTAACTTTCTCGGCACTATAGTAATTACATTGGTATGAGATAACAAAAATAGATCAGCAACAAAATTTTTTTTCAAAGTAATTGACATGCACTTATATACAAAATATACATCACCCTAAATAAACCTTCCAGATTGTTGAGGTCATAGCTAATGCAGTTCCATTGCATTTGCACAATGCTTTAATATTGCAGGGGCAGGGGAACGAGTCAGGGTGGGATGCTCTTCGGAGAGGCGGTGTGGACGAGTTGGGCTGAATGTCCTGTTTCCACACTGTAGGGATTCTATGATCTTCTATAATCTTCTTCATAGATCTTGAGCTTAGATAACCTTAAATTAGAATTTTCTCATTCACTTGCATGGAATTCATTGTTTTTGTGATTTAAGGTTTTCTTGGACCCCACTTTTGTTGATAGATTAAAACTATTCTGTCCAATTTGCAGCTTCCCTTTTCCCTGTCTTACAGGCTCCTTCTCCCAACACCTCCCCTGGTGGCAGAACATCTAGCTTCAGCCAATGTGACACTTGATCCCAGCCTTAGCAAATGCCCTCATTGCACGCCCACCACATCCATTCACAGTGACTTCCTCACTGCTACCATTTACTTACATAACATTTTTATTAATTCACAGGGCATGGGTGTTACTGGCTAGGCCAGCAGGTATGTCCATCGTTAACAGAATTGTAATATTTTCAAATGTGACTGGTTTGTTTGATGTAGCTGTTTCCTTGAACAAGATCAATTGCATAACAATATCAATGGAGAGTTTATGGCATTTGCCAATTGATCTTTTGTAATTCAGAACCACAGATAAATGGAGCAGCTGCAAAGTTATATTTGAGGCAAAAATAACGATTAAGAGAATAAAGCTCTGAGACACAGAGGGAACCCGACATTCTAGTGCATATATTAAGGAAGGTTAGAAAGCTGGTACAGCTTAGGACAGCTAATAGAATTTTGGAGCGATGGACACTGAACACAAATATAGTGAGGACCTGCTTTACTTCAAGGGGCTTTGATGAGACCATATCTGGAATATTACGTACATTATTGTCCTCCTTATTTAAAGAAGAATGTAACTGTTTTGGAAGCAGTTCAAAGAAGATATACTACATGATTATTTGGATGAAGAAACAATGGATAACCTGTTGTGCTATGTCTCATAGTCAGAATATGAGCATACATTTAAGATATCATCACTGAGGGTACAGAGGTCTCAGATGCCATCTTTACTCAGATTACTTGAATCATGAAATGCTACTCTTCAGTCATAACTGAATATTTATTCAGAAACCTATATGTATATGGATGTGGTAAGTGTACATATTGGCCAGCTGACATAAATGTCTGTCAGATCTTTCAATACCACCTAATCAATACCTGGCTTCCTTAAACTGCATAGGATATCATAAGTGTTGTGACATCAGGTCAAGTATCCTCTTGGAGGCGAAACCTATGTGATAGCCTATGCTCATTTCCATTGGGGTTTTGAAGAGGAAGAAGTGACCTGATTGAATCATATGAGATTCTGAGGTGTCTGGACAGGGTGGATGTGGAAAGGATGGTTCCTTTTATGAGAAAATCTAGAACCACGTGTCCCTGTTTTGAAATGAGGTGCCATCCATTTAAAGTACAACTAAGAATATTCTTTTTCTCTCAGAATCCCTACAGTGTGGAAACAGGCCCTTCGGCCCAACAAGTCCACACCGACTCCCAGAGCGTCTGACCCAGACTCATTGTCCTATAGCCCACCTAATCTACACATCCCTGAACACTGCGGGCAATTTAGCATGGCCAATGCACCTAGCCTGCACATCTTTGGACTGTGGGAGGAAACCCACGCAGACACGGGGCGAATGTGCAAACTCCACACAGCCAGTCACCTGAGGGTGGAATCAAACCCAGGTCCCTGGTGCTGTGAGGCAGCAGTGCTAACCACTGAGCCACCGTGCCGTCCTAAAAGTACCTGAGCTCCACCCCGGCACGAATTGAACCCCGGTCTCCCTCAGTAGTATAGTGGGCAGCATCCCTGACTAGTCTTTCTTCAGGATTCAGGTATTTTTGACTAGACAGGCAGGGATGCTGCCCACTATACTACCGAGGAGCTCGTAAATATTGTGATTCTTTGCAGCTCTCATTCTCAAAAGATAGTGCTTGATTATTTTTAAGGCAATGTACTGTAGATTTGTGATAAGCAAAGGAGTGTAAGGTTTTGGGGTAAGTAGGAAATTGGAGTAGTCAGATTAGCAGTGAGTTTATTGAATGGCAGAGCAGACCTGAGGGGCTAAGTTGCCCAATTCTGCTCCTAATCTGAATGCCATATGTTTTAATGGCCTTCTGCTGTTATTTAATGTATACATGCATTTCAAAACCTTGGGCAGGCATATGAAACAGAAAGGTTATTTTAATTAGTGTGTCCTATAGCTACATGCAATCAAGACCATGCATTTTCAGTACCTCACTTTAAGGTCCAGTTCAGTTCAGAAAATTGAGCCTGTGTTAGGGAATTAATGTTTCATATTAACTTCAAAACATAACCTGAATCAAGAATAATTCACATATCTGTAGCACTTTAAATATAGAAAACACCCAATTTCTGCAGAGCCAGAAGGGGCAGGAGTGCTGTCCCTGGAAAAACAGATATGTGTGTACTCTTTTCTCCCTCATTGTCTAAAATGTATTTCTCCTGTAAGCTGAGCTTGTATAAACAGGAATGACATTGACAGCTTGCACCAAAGGCCTAATAGCTAATTTGGCAAGGACTGATCAAATTCCACCCCTGAAAACAAAAAATGCTGGAAATCAAATGCTTGATTGAAGATAGATTAATAGTTGATGACAAGTATTCATTTAATACTAGGAATATTATGAGCCCTTGAACCTTTAACCACATTTCTACCATAACATTGATATTTATTCTATATTCTTCATTACAGCATTGGTCTTGTTGGCATGCCTGGAACTGGGTAAGTTTTTGCGCTTCTAAAGCTTTTGTAAATTTCATGCAATGAATAGAAACTCTGTGCTGATTGTTATTTGTCGTCAATGACAGGCTCTGCCTACAGACTGGTTTGTTACTTTACAAACTGGGCTCAGTACAGACCAGGAGCGGGGAAGTACAAGCCAGAGAACATAGACCCTTGCTTGTGCACACATCTGATCTATGCTTTCGCTGGAATGAAGAACAATCAAATCACCACCTATGAATGGAATGATGTGATCCTCTACCACACTTTCAATGGCCTTAAAAACAAGTATAACTTTATTGTAAAAGTTGTGAATGTATCAGCAATATCTAGCATAGTTTGAAGTTCTTATTATATATTGTTGTATATTGAAAACTTCTACCCAATTATATATAATCATAATGTGACCAGATCGGTGATTTAAAGCTGGACTTGAGCTTTGTTGATTTATTTTCCATGAGTGGACAATAATCAATACTGAATGGGTCTGGCAATGGCTGAACAATCATGATAGTACTAGCTTGTGCCATATAAACAAAATTAAAAGAAGTAACAAGTTATTCATTCAACAATGCAATTCATAGCTCTTGAGTTTGTAAATCAAACTAATAGATTATTTTAATTAGTGTGCCACGAGAATATACTTACCGAATGCACCAAATGTTGCACTTGAATTTGAAGTTTATAGTGTGCTGGTGTTTGGTGCTAATGTTTCTGTTGTTTAAAGTGAAGTATATGTATAGAAACACTGGACTTTGGCAGGAGCTGGAATTTCCACTGTTAACCAACAGTGGGTGAGCAAGGTAGCCTTTGCATTTTCACTATTCCTATCAGCAAATCAAACCAACACCTGTTAACAATACCAACATTACACCCCAGTGTTTTAGTTCAATTGTAAGTAATTTTGTTTCATTGTTTTTAAGCTATTTTCTTGTCATTTATCTTATACTAGAAGGCAACTGTGTGTCTTTGGAGACTAGTTTACAGTGGTTCAAGAAGGACAAACTTCTCAAGGACAATTAGGGTTGGGAAATAAATAATGGCCCAGCCTCTGATGTCAATAACCAGTGATTGAATTACCGTTGTGTAGGATAATACAATGTGCTTTATACACAAAACCACGGAATTGTTACAATGCAAAAGCAGGCCACGTGGCCCACTTTGTCTATACTGGTTCACAGCACACCCATCCACCACCTTAAACATTTACTCCTTGATTGAAGCTTTTATGATCTTGTCTGGTCTTGTCAAGGTGGATGTGGAAATGACATTTTCTCCTGTAGGTGAGTCCAGAACCAGGGGCATTGTTTTAAAATTAGGGTGTGGCCCTTTTAGGACAGAGTTGAGGGAATCTTTTTCTCTAAGAGGGTTTTACAACTTTGGAAGACAGCCTGAGGCAGTGGAGAATGGATCATTGAATATTTTCAAGGCTGAGATACATAGATTCTTATTAGGCAATGGAATCAAATGTTGTCTGCAATGGATGGGAATGTGGAGTTCAGAACACAAATAGATCAGGTGTGATCTTATTAAACAGCTTGAGAAACCAAATGGCCTACTTCTGCTCTTAATTCATAAGATGCTCTGTCCTCCACCACTGAGGTACAATTGATGTCATCTTCTCAACATGTGACCTCTATCACTGAGATGTATTTTTGCTCAATTGCAACTTAGCACTGAAAGGATAAAGCAGTAAAAGTCTAGGACAGTAATGATCACAGTCATCGCAAAAGTGTTCCTTAATGCATTTGTATATGTTTGTTTTTCTAAAAGAGCAATTGTTCATTTTTATTCCAGGAATGGTAATCTTAAGACACTCCTGTCCGTTGGAGGATGGAACTTTGGAACTCAGAGGTAAGATGAAAGTTTTTTTTAGTATTGGGTGACAAGTCAATGGTTAGTACTGCTGCTCATGGCGCCAGGGATCCAGGTTCAATTCCAGCCTCAGGTGACTGTGTGTCTGTACATTCTCCCTGTTTCTGCGTGGGTTTCCTCTGGGTGCTCCAGTTTCCTCCCACAGTCCAAAGATGTGCAGGTAAGGTTGATTAGCCATGCTAAATTGTGCAGGCTTGGTGGATTATTCATGGGAAATGCAGGAATAGGATAAGGGGATGGGTCTCGGTAGAATGCTCTTCGGAAGGTCTGTGCAGACTCGACGGGCTGAATAGACCGCTTCCACACTATAGGGATTCTAGAAAATGTCATTCTTTTCCAATTGTGTATAGTGTTAGATAGGCTGGGCACAAAGATATTTTTAGAAATGATGACTATGTGGTTTTACACAGATTATCTGTGAGTGAACGTGCTGTGACTATCTTCAAAAGTGTCTCAGGTGTAATTCAAACAAGGTTTGTGGAATTCTCTCTGTCTGAAAGAAAGGATTGCATTCTTTTTACAGACTTATTTTAAGTTAGAACACCTTTGAAAAATTGATTAAACTGATTAGCAACAATGCAATAATCTACAATTATATTTTTCTACATTATTATTAGTGTTTTGATCCAGATTGCAATTTTAATAGGTATGGAGCTCTTAAATATTCTTGGGACAGTTGCAAAAATCAAAATTCACTTATTCTAACTTTGATCCATTCTACCCTCCTCCAGATTCACCGCCATGGTTTCCTCATCAGGAACTCGCCAAGTTTTCATTAATTCTGTGATTAGCTTCCTGCACCGTTATGGATTTGATGGTTTGGACATTGATTGGGAATATCCTGCATCAAGAGGCAGTCCCCCACAAGACAAATATCTCTACACTGTGTTAGTGCAGGTAGGAACCACATGTATTTCAGAGGATGTTTATTTTACTAGCTAAAACAAAGTTTGTTTGAAATGTCGATTTCCTCTAAAGGTTATCACCAAGGACAAGGGTACAAGGATAGGCCTTTAAGCTTCTATTGCCTGCTCACTGCCATTCAATTAGATCATCGATGACTTATAGCCTTATGCTTACAGCAACAGATGTAAAATACAGTTCTGGTGACTTGGTGAGAAACATGGAAGTGGAATGTTCATATGTTAAAAAATGTGAATTTAGACAGCAAAGTAGTTTGATTACAGCCTCATGGATCACTGTAATAAAAGCATGTCTGTTTTGACTACTGTGAAACAGCGATCCATTTAGGTTCCATTGAAATCAGGTCCCAACTTTGATTATAGACTTAGATTAAACAGGTTATTGTCCAACACTTGGATTCATTTTATAAAATCAGAAAACTCATAGAGCCAAATTTGAAATTTCTCCACTTTGTGTGATTTTTGCTATGAGAGACCTCTTTCACTTTTGACTTCTAGGAAATGATGGCAGCGTTTGAAGCTGAGGGGAGAAGCACAGGAAGACCGAGACTGCTGCTCTCTGCTGCAGTTGCTGGTGGCAAGAGTAATATTGATTCTGGCTATGAGATTCCTGAGCTCGGAAAGTAAGTATCCACATTAGTCCTACAGGACTCTTTATGTGGAGAAACCCTTTTTCTCTATTTTCTTTCTGATTCAGCAAATTTAATAAGATCGCAGACGAGCAAAGAGTACTCATAAGTATTTCATTCAAACTTGTTGCTGAGTTGACGGATTCTAGTTTACGCAATGTTCAAGATGCTAAGATTGTTTCTTGTACTGATGTTGTTCTGATACCTCTGACTGTACCTGGTCATCAGGTGAAGGTAGTACTCAGCGCTGCTTTGGATCACTACAGTGTTAAATGCTATCAGTCTCTGCTTTCTAAGCAGAGATATGAATATATTGGTCAGGTGATGCTTGTAGAATTGTTTTCTGGCAAACAAATAGAAAGTCATCCAAAAAACAAATCACCTAATTCTGTCAGATTTCGAGGCAGGGTGATAGAGAGTGGGCTAGAAAGCAGGAATAGTAGAGAGAGAGAAACAGTGATGATAGGGTGAAGGAGAGAGGGATTGAGAGCAGCTATATTTGCCTACTTACCAAAGCTTCAAGAAGCCCGACCTCCTCGAATCGTAGAATCCCTACAGTGTGGAAACAGGCCCTTCAGCCCAACAAGTCCACACCGACCCTCAGAGCATCCGCCCAAACCTATCCCCCTATAACCCACCTAATCTACACATCCCTGAACACTACAGACAATTTAGCATGACCAATCCACCTAGCCTGCACATCTTTGGACTGTGGGAGGAAACCAGAGCACCCAGAGGAAACCCATACAGACAAAGGGAGAATGTGCAAACTCCACACAGACAGTCACCCGAGAGTGGAATTGAACCCAGGTCCCTGGCGCTGTGAGGCAGCAGTGCTAGCCACCATGCCACCATGCCACCATACCACCATGCCACCCATGTTAGGGGTTTTGTAGCCTGGATATTGATATGGAATTAATTAATTCTTAGTTCTTAGTTAGTTGATTATTGCAGTCTCCTTGCAATCACCTTGCAGCCTCTTTGTTTCACACCCACCATTTGGAGACTGCTTCTCCTCCCAAACCACACTTGCAGCTTCCTGGTACCGCACCCTGCCCACCCCGCCCACCCCCGCACCCCATACCTCCTTGTTGCTTCCGTTCTCCTCCGGAGCCCCCTTGCATTTCCTTCTTACCTACACCACCTTGCAGCACCCGGATCCTCCCACCCCTCTGTTGGAGACTCCATCTCCCACCCCTTTTCTTTCTGGCCTCTATTTCTCTCACACCCTAATTGGGGCCTTCTTATCCCCTTCAGCCTCACTCTGACACCCCTTTCTTTCTCAGAAAAACCGTCATGCAGTTGCCTCTGACCTCCTATTCCTCACCAAGCAGTCTGAGATCATAACCTTGACAAAATGTGGCTCTTAACTCAGGCTCAGCCAATGGCAACACCAGATTATAGCCTCCTCAAAAGACTCTGTCATTGCCCTCTTCTGCCACTTGCTTGCCCAGTTACCAACTCACAGCCACCATTTACTTCCTCAGTGCTCGCTGTTCCTTCATTCACAGATTGAATCTGTAGTGGTGGTAACAAGGTCGGCCAGATGGACCTCATAGAATATGAGTTCCCTAATTGGGACTGTTAACCTGGTCCAATCAGGTAGCTCTGGCTGACAGATATAAACAGGAGTGTCAGGGGTTTTGTTCACTCAGAGAGCTGGCTCTGAGGGAGCTGGATCAGTGTCAAGGACTGTTCAAATGTAAATAAAGTGTGACTTGGTGACAGGATACTGGCTTTTGTGGAGTTATTTCAGAATCTGTCCCATGTTTGTCACTGATAGGCTGATGGGCCAAATGGCCTATTTCTGCTCCTACATCATGTGTTCAGTTTCACCCCATTTCCTGACATTCAATGTATAGAAATGACTTTCCTCTGATTGGTCACTTTCTTGAGTGAATTTTCTTGGAGTATTTGGGCACTTTTGAGGCAGATTTGCTGTGTATTTGGAGCATTGGTACATAGTCAAGTGGTCAAACCCAGATACTATTGTTACCACCCATTGATCCATCATGATTAAATCAGGGTTTGACATTGGGTGTAGGGAGTGCTGCCTGGTTTATTGTTTACCAGCTCCCTGGTTCTGACACTGGGCTTATGTAGTGGAATGTGATGTGGTGGAAAACACAGGAGAGAGATGCTTCAGGGGCAAAGAAAAACACTGATTTTTATTGAATAAACACAAGCAAATTGAATATATTTGCAGAAAACAAGAAAGTGAATATTAAAACCCGCCCATCTCTGACTGAGACTTTGTCTCCCAGTTAACTTAAATGCCAGTTAAGCCTTGCAGCTAAGATTTAAATCAGTGGGTAAGTAGATACAGTGGGTGACTGTTACTTATGCTAATGGGGAAGGGGGTGTGGGGAGAGAGAGAGAGAGAGATTACCTGCTATTCCACTTCCCTTCCTTAGAGGTGCCCTACACCATAAGCCCCCCAGACCCCTTTCCCCTATCTAAGACTAGCCAAGCTGGGTTAGAGACAGTCTCAATGACCTTAGGCTCACCCTGGAGTGATAGAGATCACAAATGCTTGGAGCTTTCTGTTGAAAGAGTTGCTAAAAGCACTTGGTATACAGAGCATATTGAGCTCTGTGTGTGTTGTGGTGTAGGTAGCGAATGTGGAGACAATCAAGGAAAGTGCTTTGTCCTGTATAATGTCTTGCGTGTTGTTGGAGTTGCCAGGGCTCGAAGGGTGTCTTATTGGGCACTTATTGTAGTGCAGCACTGACAGCATATTGAAAGTAGCTCATCAGCTGTGAATTGCTTTATGACATGATGAGAACGTGAAATGTCCAATGTAAATGCCACGTTTTGTTTATTTTCTGTAGTTTTCATCTCAGAGCTCACTTATTTAATAACGAAGATTATAACCATTTATCTTAGTAACAGACTCTCAGTATAACTCACATCTCTTCTCATACAGAGTTTTTGACTTTATCAATGTGATGACATACGATTTCTTTGGACCTTGGAGCCATACCACTGGAGAAAATAGCCCTCTTTATCCTCTCCCAAATTCCCAAAGTGCTCTCAACTTGGAGCTTAATGTGGTTCGTACTCATGAAAATCAAATCCAATTGTTTCAATATTTCTACTGATAAATGGGTAACTATCTTCAGTCAGATTGCTTGCAAAGTGCTTCCAGGATATACTTCCATTTTTTTCTGCAGAACTATGCAATGAATTACTGGAAAGAAAATGGAGCTCCTGCAGAGAAACTGAATGTTGGATTCCCAACATATGGCCACACCTTCAGACTGAGCTCATCCAACACTGGAGTTGGAGCCCCAGCATCAGGTCCTGGACCAGCTGGGAAGTACACAAGACAAGCTGGATTCTTGTCATATTATGAGGTATTGACACTGATTAAGCTTCATTATTCTGTAATATTTATATTTACAAATGCTAACTATGCGAGGACAGAATTCTACCCTCCAAAACAGACCAAAGATTTACTGTGAGATTTGCTCCAACATCCAAAGCTTCTGACGGAGACTTCCTGAAGTAACATCTGATGATTTATCATGCTGCCCTTGTGCTTTTTGAGTGATGCAAGTGTCTGGGATGGACCTTTTTAAAAGATAGGCAGTCTATTCTGTCATCCTTAGCAAAGACACACAATCACATCATCTGTCCCATGTATGAAAATTTTGCGCCTCTGCCAAAATGTCAATACACAGTATGGCCCAGCTTCAATGTCAGAGGAACAGGAGCTGGGACACCTGTCATCTGACATCAAAGACATAATGTAACACTCTCCATCATTAAAAAAAGTCTGACTTTCTTACTCTAACAATTGTTGCCAGTCTTAGTAAATTTGCACAAGAGATAAAGAGGAGGGTTTATCCCTTTGAAATCTCAACCTCAAATTCCAGGATGTTTTACAGAACCATTGCAGCCACTTCTTAACAGTTTGCATGCCAACTTCATTTGCCAGTTCCACATCTTCGGGAGGGTAAGGAAGCTGGTCTTGAAGCCAGCTCTTAAATCAATTGCTTTCTCATATGTACAAATAAAGATTTATTCAGTGCTCCAGATCAGAACATGCGGGAGAATCAGTTGTGAGGTGGACACACAGGAGATGCTGTGGCCGCAGAAGAGACACCAGAATGGTGTGTTGCCTCCTGGGTGCCAGGGTCAAGGATGTCTTTGAGTGGTTGCAGAACATTCTGAAGGGGGAGATTGAGCAGCCAGAAGTCATTGTGCACATTGGTACAAGTGACATAGGTAAACAAAGGGATGGAGTCCTGAGAAATGTGTATAGGGAGTTAGGTAATAAGTTAAAGCGCAGGACCTAAAGGATAGTGATCTCCAGATTACTCCCAGTGCCAAGCTCCCGTGAGGATAGAAATAGAAAGATAGACCAGATGAATGTGTGGCTGAGCAGCTTGTGTAGGGGCAGGGTTTTCAGTTCTTGGATCATTGGGATCTCTTCTGGAGTAGAGGTGACCTGTAGAAGAGGGATGGGTTGCACTTGAGCCTGAGGGGGTCCAATATCCTCGTGGGGAGATTTGCTAGTGTTACCTGAGAGGGTTTAAACTAGTTTGGCAAGGGGTGGGACTCTGAATAAGAGAGGGGCCATCGAGAAGTCAGGGGAAAATACATTAGCCATCGAGAGCAAGTTTACTATTCGAGATAACAAGGGACACAGTAAAGGGAGGAAAAAGACTTCTGTTTTAAAATGTTTTTATTTCAACACATGAGGCCTGACTGGTAAGGCAGATGAGCTCAGAGCATGGATTGCCTCTGGGAACTAGGATATTATAGCCATAACAGAAACATGGCTGAGAGAAGGGCAGGACTGGAGCTCAATGTTCCAGGATACAGAAGCAACAAGTGTGGCAGAAGTACAAGTAAGTGAGGAGGGGGAGTTGCCCTTTTGATAAGGAAGGACATAACAACAGTGCTTACAGTGGATATTGTTAAGGGATCATCAAATGAGGCCATATGGTTAAAACTTAAAAACAAGAAGGGGATAGTCACTCTGCAGGGACTGTATTATAGATCCCAAATAGCTAGCGGGTACTAGAGGAGCAGATGTGTAGAGAGATTGCAGATACCTGTAGCAATAAGAGATTGGAATTGATTGGTGATTTTAATTTCCCCTGTTTTGAATGGGCTACCCACAGTGTAAGAGGCCTGGACGGGGTGTCTAAGAAAGCTTCCTAAATCAATATGTAGAGGGCCCTACTCAGGAGGGTGCAACACTGGATCTCCTCTTAGGAAACAAGGTAGGGCAAATGACTGAAGTGTCAGTCAGAGAGTACTTTGTGGCTAGTGACAATAACTCCTTAGTTTAAACATAGCTATGGGAAAAGATAGGATAGGTCCACAGATTAAGGTGCTGAACTGGAGCAGGGCCAATTTTGTGGCAATTAGGCAGGATCTAGCAGCGGTCAATTGGGTGGGTCTGTTTGAAGGAAATGGAACGAGTGGCAAATTGGAGACTTTTAAAAGTGTGATATCAAGAGTCCAGGGATAGTATGTCCCGGTTAGAGTGAAGGGAAAAGCTGGTAAGTTTAGGGATCCCTGGCTGATGAGGGATATTGAGGCTCTGGGCATGAAGAAGAAGGCAGCATACATGGGTTTAAGCTATAGAGCTCAAGTGAGTCACTAGAAAAAGTGCAAGAGCACACTTAGGAGGGAAATCAGAAGAGCAAAGAGAGGGGATGAGATGGATCTAGCAGATAAGTTTTAACATAATCCCAAGTGGTTCTATAGCTACATTAAGAGTAAGAGGGTGGCTAGGGAGACGATGTGTCCCCTTAAGGATCAGCATGGCTGTCTATTTGTGGAGCCACAGGAGATGAGGGAGGGATAGTCAGCAAGGATTTGTGCATGGGAAGACCAGTTTGACAAATTTTTTAGAGTTTTTTAAAGAGGTAATCAAGAGGATGGATGAGGGTAGGGCAGTGGATGTTGTCTATATGGGCTTTAGTAAGGCCTTTGACAAGGTCTTGCACAGCAGGCTAGTCATGAAAGTCAGGTCACACGGAATCCAGAGAGAGCTAGCTAATTGGATTCAAAATTGGCTTGATGGTAAGAAGCAGAGGGTGATGGTTGAAGTTTGGTTTTTGGGCTGCAGGCCTATGACTGGTCGGGTGTCAGAGTGTCAGTCCTGGGGCCTTTGTAATTTGTTATTTACATAAATGACCTGGATGTGCATGTACAAGGCATGATTACTAAGTTTGCAGATGATACGAAATTAAGAGGCATTGTTGATAGCAAGGAAGGCTATCAAAAATTACAGAGGGATCTTGATCAGATGGGGAAGTGCGCAGAGGATTGGCAAATGCAATTCAACACAGATAAGTGTGAGGTGTTGCATTTTGGAACGTCAAACCAAGGTAGGACTTATACAGTAAATGGTAATGTCCTGAGGAGTATTGTGGAATAGAGGGACCTAGAAGTACAAGTGCATAGTTCATTGAAAGCAGCGTCACAGTTAGACAGGGTGGTGAAGAAGACATTTAGCACGCTGGCTTTCATCAGTCAAGGCACTGTGTGTAGGAGTTGGGACATTATGTTAAAGAGGTATAAGTTGTTGATGAGGTGGCAGTTGGAGTATTGTGTACAATTTTAGTCACCCTGCTATAGGAAAGACATAGTTAAATTGAAAAGTGTGCAAAGAAGATTTACTAGGATGTTTCCAGGACTAGTAAGTCCGAGATATAGGGAAGGGTTGGCCAGAATAGGACTTTATTCCTTGGAACGTAGGAGAATAAGTGATGAACTTATTGAGGTGTATAAAATCAAGAGGGGCATAGATAGGATGAATGCATATTGTCTTTTTCCTAGGGATCGGGAATTTGAAAACTTGTGCGCATAGTTTTAAGGTGAGAGGGGAAAGACCTAAAAAGGACCTGAGGGGCAACTTCTTCATGCAGAGAGTGGTATGTATATGGAATGGGCTGCCAGAGAAAGTGATTGAGGCTGGTACAATAGCAACATTTAAAAAACATTTGGACAGGTACATGGATGAGAAATGTTTAGAGGGATATGGTCCAAAAGTGGGCAATTGGGACTAGCTGAGTGGGTACCATGGCCAGCATGGACCAGTTTGGGCCGAAGGGCCTGTTTCCATGTTGTATTACTCTATGACTCTATGAGAAATCATTTCATCTTTCAACAATTGGATTGGTCAGCATTTCATATTTATCAATACAAATAAGTTTCCAACTTATCAAGTAACAGTGCTTTCATGTTTGAGAATTTTAATGGAGTGAAGCCAATAGCCGAATGAAAGCAACAAGGGAAAGTGAAGTAAAGATTTCCAATAGTATACATTTAAAGCATTGCAAACCACTGTTCTATGGAAACACTAATGACTTGAATACCATTGTCTCACTCTTTTGACAGATCTGCACATTTTTGAAAAGTGCCACCATGAAATGGAATGCTCCACAAGTGGTTCCATACGCATATAAAGGAAATGAATGGCTTGGACATGATGATGTGAAGAGTTTTAGAGATAAGGTAAAATTAATTAACTTTTTTATTTGTTGCTTTGTTGCAATATGTGTGCTGTGATATACAACTAGTTTTGCATTATCAGGGCTGGAAAAATGTTATAACATCATTCAATGGAATAGCCGCAACATCTTGTACAAAATCTTTGTATCCTGTTTATTTACAGGAGAGATCCCAGAGGACCCAATATTATTTTTTTGTTTCAGAAGGGCAACAGGGATAATCCAGGAAATTACAGGCTGGTGAATCTTATGTTTCTTACGGTCTGGGTTTACTTTCATTTAGAAAAACATGGACTTATTGGCTATAGGCAGCATGGTTTTGTGGGGGAGAGGATGTGTGTCATTAAATCATTAGACTTGGATATTTGGGGCAGGTACCCAGTGAATCAAAGTGTATTTAATACTGGCCTTGAATCCTGACTCTTAACGATGAAGGAGAAACACAGAAAACTGCAAACGACTTAACAGCATGAAAATGGTTCATTCTTGCCTGCTAAGGTTGCTAGTTGGGTGACTCTGAGTTTAAGATGGATTTTTTTATGCAGTTTAACCACTGGTTTTATTTCTGATTTAGTCCCTGATGCAAGAGTGTTGGGAGAAGTTCATACATCTGTCTTTTCAGCTCTTTGTACCAAAGATGCAAATGAATGTGTGAAAGAAACAGACACAGTTTCTGAAATGTCTCATTTCACAGATACCCATTACAGCAACTTCAATGATTAGGAAGTGGTGACTTATTGGTAAATTCACTGGATTCTAATGCTCTGGAAACATGGATTTGAATCGACCATGGCAGATGGTGAAATCTGAATTTAGCAAAAAAAGTCTAGATCTGTTTAATCACAACTGTGCAATCACTTGCTGTACAAACCATTCTGGTTCATTCGTGTCAACCTACCTCTTTACCTGGTCTCCAGCACTTAACTGCCACCAAGTTAATTAGGTATTGGCAATAAATACTGGCTATGTAGTGTGCCTACATTCCATGAATTAAAAAAAGGAATATCTGTTTTAAAATTCATTGGAGTAAAACTTTCCTTCTCTTCTAGGGTATGATAAAAGTCGAAGGTATCTATATTCACAGAACGGTAGCAGTGGCACCTTTGGGCATTTCTACAATTTTAGAAGAGGTTTTTTTTGTATTTAGTTGCAGTGTATTGTAAACATTTATTTGTATTTGGGGCAAAAATTGCTTGCAAACAAGAATTTATGAAGTGAATTTGTGAACAATATCTTCCAGGTTGAGTGGCTGAAAAACAACAACTATGGGGGAGCTATGGTGTGGGATCTTGCTCTGGATGACTTCTCCGGAACTTTCTGCAACCAGGGGCCTTATCCTCTCATCAATACACTGCACACAGGGCTTGGAATCTCTCAAGGTAACTTGAGGCTTCTTTACACTTGGATCTTGTTACTTGTTGCTATCACAATGTCAGCAATCATTAATGAGTAAAATAACTTAGCAATTATTTGAATTAACTAAATAAATTTCAATTTCAACATTGTTAGAACCACAGTAATACAGGATCACTGAGTGTTTATGGTCATAAAATCCATATGAGGATGAATCATGTAATAAACACTGAAACATCTTCATCTGTTGTTATGTGTTTATGGTAATATTGAGCAAGTCAAATCCCAAAGTGAACATGTGGCTTCACAGACTATAACTTTTATTTCTTTATTTGCTTCCCATGGTGATCAGTATGGATCATATTCACAAGAGGCTGCCAATGTATTTTTAACAAAAGTATTTAAAGTTTGTTACACACAAAAGAAAAAAAAACACACTAACTATATTACACCATGTAACAAATTGTTGAAACTGTTGCAACAAAAGTATCAAAAATAAAGATTCAACCCTTTTACCCTCAGCAGCAACCTCACAGATTTTACCCTCATACAACTTCAGTGAAGTCGCCCTGTTTCCAGTTTAAAGCTCGTCATTCAGCTGGCATGGCTAAACTTGTTCTATTTCTGATAAATGTCTGCATTCACTTGGTGCTATCTTCTTCAAATAATCTCTGTTCCTGATATTTTTAAGCAAACTGTTAATTCAGATCACTTATTTCTCAACTTGTGTTCCTTAAGTTCATATATTTATCAGCCTTGTCCCTGACATCTTAAAGCCATCTGTTTTTGGAGCTTTTCTCTTACTAGTGTTTTAAGTCATTCAAAATTTCTGGTCTTCTACACTGACTGTTTTGGAGACAATTAAGCTAATAACTTTTGCTGCCATAGACCTGCTCTCATTGACAGAAATCTGTATACCTACTGACCTTCTGGATTGTTCTACATTTTGAAAAGATTTCTTCTCAGCTTCTGTCTCCCTGTGTCATAAGACATTGGGCAATGACCCACTTTTTTCTTCTTTCCTACTCTTTGTTGTCTAAAGCACTATCTACTCTCCTCAAGGGACTTTTGTCAAAGCCTCAATTAAATCCATGTAAACAACATTCTAGACAACCACTCACCATTCAAAGAACTCAGAAATTGAAAATGAAGCTAAATCTATGTTATCTCTTTTCTTAACACATGCAATACAGAAATACAAATCAAACTGCGAGCAAAACATGGCTGTTTCTGTGCTAGAGTTCAAATTTTCAAATAATAGCAATAATTCCATATCATAAAACTTTATCACACTGTTAACGGGCTAAGTCATAAATTTGCACTGGTTGTTGCATCCAGTATGCATTGAAACTTTAATATGTTGAAGATATTCATTGTATTATTGTATTTAAATCTAAAGGAGTAACATATCATGATGCAAATTTATCAAGTTTTTTAGAGCGAGTTCCATAGGAGCTGTCATGCATGTAGTGTAACTTTGTTTAAAATAAAACTACAATTAAATCACACTTCAAAGTTTGCGTTGCAATAAGCACACTCCAACAATGTCACAAGATTTTCTCAGCTGCTGTTAGTGAATTGAACTTGTAAGCAGCTTGTTCCAAATACCACAGGATATTGAGCTCTTCCTGAAAATTTTCAATGCACCATCCGTCCTTGACTGGCCATGCTTATCTTTGTTACCCATTTTGAAGCAAGTGATGAATTGATGAATTTTGTTTCTTTCTAGTTTGTGTTCCATCTAAAACGGCAGTACGACTAGTTGTTCCTCCTATGCAGGCCCCCAGTGGTGGTGGCAGCAGTAGCAGTGATGGAAGTGGGTTCTGTGCTGGCAAAGCTAATGGTGTCTACGCTGATCCAAAAGACAAGAACAAATATTATCAATGTGTGAATGAAGTGAGCTACATGAAGCATTGTGCTGCTGGACTAGTCTTTGACCCTTCCTGTGACTGTTGCAGCTGGGTTTAAGTAGAAGGTATGGGTTCTTGTTAATCTAAGTAACAATTGAAAGCAGATGTTCTGTGTAAATCAGTAATATTTGGATGGTGTAAAATACCAATGAAGCCTTTATTAGGAGCCCTAAAGGAATATGTCAGAAGCTTAATATGGACAAACTATTAAATTTTAATCCAAACGTGGTCTGCTTGATGTACAATTTCAGCAAATTCTGACAACGTGTATACCAAATGAATGTATTTTCATCTTCCTTTGATTTGAATTGAATTGTATGCTCCCAGAGATGGTGTTATTTTCTTTCGTAATGAGATACTGTGTTGTTTGCAAGGCTAGCCTTAACTGCACATCCGTTAATTACCTTTGTTAAAGTGGGGATTAACGGCCTTCTTGAACTGCTGCAGCCCCCATGGCAGTGTTCTGATATCATAGTTATCTGGAAGAACAAGAAAATAATTAGAATTAAAAATTAGACCCTATATATGCTGGTTATACCACTTATGTCATAGAATGGCTACAGTGAAGAAGCAGGCCATTCAGTCCATCGAGTCCACACCAACCCTCCAAACAGCTTCTCATCCAGACCCACAACCCTCAACCCTATCCCCGTAATCTTGCATTTCCCATGACTAACCCATCTAGCCTGCACATCCCTGAACACTACGGGCAATTTAGCATGGCCAATCCACCTAACCTGCAGGTTTTTGGACTGTGGGAGGAAACCAAAGCACCTGGAGGAAACCCACACAGACACAGGGAGAATGCGCACACAGACAAGAGTGGAATCAAATCTGGGTCCTTGGCACCGTGAGACAACAGGGCTAACCACTGAGCAACCGTGCCGCTCCATTGGGTAATAACGTGATTTTGAATATTATTGTTCAAGGGAAAACATGAAAACATTCTTTAGTTTTCAGGTCTGCCATCAAGCTTCATTGGGCACAAATGCATCTGTAACTTGTCTTCAATGTAATTACTGAAGTGACATTATTTTGAATAAAAGCCATTATTGTACTCCAATGAATTTGTCTCAAAGACATGAAAAGTAGTTTAAACAGTAAAATAAAATAACCAATTTATGCAGAAAACAGTTTACTTAGTACTTTTTCTTAATGAATGATATACAATTTCAGGTTCCATCTGACACAGTTCAAAGCAGAAACTGATGTTTGAAACTTTGACACAAATTCAAACCACAGTATTTCCATATCTCCAAGCATTTCAACGCTTCACAGGGAAAACATTTTTGGTTCAATACAGGAAAGAAACTGAAGCAAACTGATTTCTAATACAAGCACAGGGAGTGCAAGAGAAATTCATCAAGACTGGCAGCACCTGTGGAGAAAGAAACAGAGTTAACATTTCGAGTCTAATATGACTCTTAGTGTCATAGAGTCTTGCAGCACGGAGACAAGCCCTTCCGTCCAAACTGGTCCATGCCAACCAAAATGTCCATCCACGCTAACCCCATTTCCGTGCACTTGGCCCATATCCTTCTAAACCTTTCCTATCCATGTATTTGTCGAAAAGTCTTTCAAATGTTAATATACCCACCTCAACCACTTCCACTGGCAGCTCATTCCAAATGTGTACCATCCCCTGTGTAAAAAAGTTGCCCCTCATGTTCTCATGTATTCTTTCCCCTCTTACCTTAAACTGATGCCCTCTAGTCCTTGATCCCCCAACCCTGGAGAAGGACTGAGTGCATTTACGCTATCCATGCCTGTCATGATCTTATACATTTCTATAAAATCCCCCACTCAGTCTCCTACGCTCTAAAGAAGAAAGTCCTACCTTGTCCAAACCCTCCCTATAACTCAGTCCCTTGGGTCCTGGCAATATTCTCGTAAATTTCTTCTGCACTCTTTCAAGTTTAATAATATCTTTCCAGTAGATTTGGATGAGGGAACAAAATGTAACATCTCTAAGTTTGTAGATGATACCAAGTTGGGTGGGAGGGTGAACTGTGACAAGGATACAGAGATCCTTCAGCATGATCTCGACAGGTTGGGTGAGTGGGAAAATCAATGGCAGATGCAGTATAATTTAGATAAATGTGAGGTTATTTACTTTGGAAGCAAGAACAAGAAGGCAGATTACTACCCAAATGGCCGTAAATCGAGAGAAGGGTGTGTGCAACGGGCCCTGGGTGTCCTTGTGTACCAGTCGCTGAAGGTAAACATGCAGGTGCAGCAGGCAGTGAAGAAGGCAGATGGTATGTTGGCCTTCATTGTGAGAGGTTTCAAGTACAGGAATAGGGATGTGTTGTTGCAGTTGTACAGGGCCTTGGTGAGACCTTGCCTAGAATTTTGCGTGCAGTTTTGGTCTCCTTTTCTGAGGAAGGATACACTTGCTTTCAAGGAAGTATAGCAAAGGTTTACCAGGCTGATTCAGGAATGGTGGGACTGACGTGTGAGGAGAGATTGACAAGGTTAGAATTGTTTTCGCTGGAGTTCAGGCGAATGGGGTGGGTATTTGGAGGATCTCACAGAGACTTATAAAATTCAAACAGGACTGGACAGGATAGATGCAGGGAGGATGTTCCCAATGGTGGGTGTGTCCAGAACTAGGGGTCACAGTATGAGGATTTGGCATAGATGATTTATGACGGAGATGTGGAGACATTTCTTCACCCAAAGAATAGTGAGCGTGTGGAATGCATTATCACAGGAAGTAGTTGAAGCCAAAACATTGAATGTATTCAAGAGATGACTAGATATAGCATTTGGGGTGAATGGGATCAGAGTTTATGGAGAGAAAGCAGGATTAGGTTATTGATTTGGATGTTCAGCCATGATTGTGAAGAATGGCAGAGAAGGCTCAAAGGGCTGAATTGCCTCCTCCTGCTCCTATTTTCTATGTTTCTATGTTTCTATAGCAAGGTGACCAAAACTGAACACAATACTCCAAGTACAGCCTCATCAATACCCTGTACAACTGCAACATAACTTGCCAACTTCTGTACTCAGTGCCCTGACTGATGAAGGCCAGTGTGCCAAAAGCCTTCTTCATGTCCTGTCTACCTGTGACTCCATTTTCAGAGAACTGTGCACCTGAACTCCAAGGTCCCTCTGTTCCATTACACTGCTTAAGGCCCTACCATTCACCATGAAACTCCTACCCTGATTTGACTTTCCAAATGCAACACCTCACACTTATCTATATTAAACTCCATTTGCAATTTCTCAGCCCACTTCCCCAGCTGATCAAGATCCTGCTGCAATTTCTGATAACCTTCCTCACTGTCCACAATATTGCCTACTTTCGTGCCATCTGCAAACTTGCTAATCATGCTTTGTACATTCTCATCCAAATCATTGATATAGATAACAAACAGCAATGGGCCCAGCACCGACCCCTGAGGCACACCACTAGTCACAGGCCTCCGGTCTGACAAGCATCCTTCCACTACTACTCTTTGCGTCCTACCATCAAGCCAATTGTGTATCCAATTTGCCAACATTCCCTGGATTCTGTGTGATCTTCCAGAGCAGCCTACCACGTAGATACCCCATCAAAGGCCTTACTGAAATCCATATAGACTATGTCTACCTCTCTGCCCTCATCAACCTTCCTGGTCACTTCACCAAAGAGCTCTAACAAATTTGTGAGACTTGATCTCCCACACATGAAGCCATGTTGACTGCTTCTAATCAAACCAGGTCTTTCTAAATGTATGTATATCTTATCCCTCAGAATCTTCTCAAGTAACTTACTAACCACAGATGTTAAGCTTACTGGCCTATGATTCCCAGGTTTATCTTTGCAGCCCTTCTTGAATGAGGGTACAACATTCACTACCCTCCAGTCCTCCGGGACCTCACCTGTGGCTAACAATAATGCAAATATATTAGCCAGGGGCCCCGCAAATTGTTCTCTAGCCTTTTGCAGAGTTCTTGGATATATCTGGTCAGGACCAGGAGATTTATCCACCTTCATACATTCTAATACTTCCAACACTTTCTCTACTGTGATATGGACTGTCCCCAATATATCACCACGAATTTCCCAAGTTCCCAAGTCTTCATGTTTTTCTCCACAGTAAACACAGAGGTCAAATATTCATTGAGGACTTCACCCATCTCCTGCGGTTCCACACATACGTGTCCACTTTGGTCCTTGAGTGGTCCTTTTCTCCCTCTAATTTTTTTTTTCCTTTAATATACTTAAAGAATCTCTTTGGATTCACCTTAATCTTCTCAGCCAAAGCTATCTTGTGCCCCCTTTTCGCCCTCCTGATTTCCTTTTTCAGTAAAGTCCTGTATCCCCCATATATCTCCAGGGATTTCCTTGATCCCAGCTGCCCAACAGAGCCTCCTTCTTTTTACTGGTCAAAGCCTCAATATCTCTTGTCATCCAGGGTTCCCTACTCATGCCAACCTTACCCTTCACCCTCACAGGACCATATAGACCTTGCTCTAGTTATCACACTTTTAAAGCCTCCCACTTGCCAGAGGTCCCTTTACCTGCAAACAAACTGCTCCAATCAACCCCTGCAACTTCCTGTCTAATTCCATCAAAATTCATATTGCCCCAATTTAGAACTTAAACCTGTGGGCCAGTTTTGTCCTTCTCCATAACTATTTTAAAATTAATAGAACTATGGTCACTGTTCCCAAAGTACTCCCCCACTGTCACCTCAGTCACCTGTGCTGCCCTATTTCCCAAAGAGTAGGTTAGGTTTTGCCCCTTACCAAGTATGATTCTCTATATACTGCTTAAGGAAACTTTCCTGAACACGTTTAATAAATTCTACCCCATCTAAGCCCTTAACACTATGGCAGTACCAGTCTATGTTAGGAAAAGTAAAATTCCCACTATGACAATCATATTTCACCTGTAAGTCTCCAAAATCTCCATGTATATTTGTTCCTCTAATTCCTGTTGACTATATGGGGGCTTATAGTACAACCCCATTAATGTTACCATCCCCTTCTTATTTCTTAGTTCCACCCACAAAGCCTCACTGGATGATCCCTCAGTTGTTTCATCTCTGATTACTGCTGTGCTACTCCTCTTATTCAAAAATGCAACTCCCCCTCCTTTCTTTCCTCCACCTCTGTCCCGCCTAAAGCACCTGGCACGTTAAGCTGCCAGTCCTGTCCCTCCCTTAGCCATGTTTCTGTAATGGCTATAATATCCCAGTCCCATGTACCTATCCATGCCCTGAGTTATTTCTTCATTATTGATACACTACATTGTACAAACATTGTTTTCACGAGAAAAATAATCTTATGTAGCAGATTAGTAACAGCTAGTGAGATGGGAGTGGGGTAGGGTAAAAAGTTTTTTAATTGGCAGACCTATTTTGATGGGAAGTGTTGCTTTCTGTTACATTCCCATTTGCCTTTCGGGATTCTTTTTATTCATTCTTGAGATTTGAGTAGATCTTTCAAGGCTAGCTCTTGTTGCTCTTCTCTACTCGCCCTTAAGCAGATGGTGGTGAGTTGCTTTCTTGAACTTCAGCCATCTGTCTAGAGTGTGTACATCCATGGTACTGTTACAGGAATTCCAGGATTTTAACCCAGTCATAGAGTCATAGAGTCATACAGCATGGGAACAGACCCTTCGGTCCAACCTGTCCATGCCGACCATGTCCCAACTGAACTAGTCCCATCT